CCCCAGTCTCTCACACATGAGACACAGTGCCGGACCAGGAATAACTTGTCCCGTGGGCTTGGGTATTTGTTTCCCTTTTCAAACCTGCCAAGATTGCAATCAGTTTCGAGCAGATGTAATTTTTTCATTGAAATACAGGGTGGGTGTTATTACAAATCGGAGTCAAGCGCAATCGTTTTCTCTCCGAAGCTGGGATGTTTTAACAAGGCAATTTCTAGAAAGGTTTTCCTAGTTTTTGTGCTTTTCTGTTAACAGAACGTGCTGCAAATTCTAGATTCTTCAACTCTCTATGAATGTGTAATAAACAGGTAGTGTATAAAAACAAAACAGATCTTCTTAAAGTCTGGTGGCAAAACCACTGCTCTGTTAACACGGTGCAGCTAGTACCTTTACTGGTTATTTACATTTAATTAAAAGCAGTAGGGCAGTGGCAAATAAACTGAAGACAAAGCATTATATAACCACTTTCACCTCAGAACCTATGTAAACATAGTACTTGCAGCACACTCTTCTGGAACAGAACAGACCATAGGGAATATTATGATATGATTCAAGATAAAAATTAAACACTGAGGCTTGTAAATTGATGAGTGTGGAAGATGAGATTGATATTAGAAAAATATAAAACTGTAACAAACTGTAAAAGGCAAGGATTATATTTCCACCCATTATAATAAAGCTATTTATCCCACAAAAAGAGAACACAAAACTTCACACAGGCAGATGCCCAGGGCAGAACCTGACCCCGGCACACTGCAGTTGTGAGACAGCAATGCTAACTTCCACAATGCTAGCTGACCCAAAATTGTATTTATGAATGACAAAACCTACCAAGAGGTAATAACTACTGTGTGTCTACATACAGTTGTAATGCAGTTTGTATTGCAGCATGGTTGCAATCTTTTTTAGAGAAACTATAGCATGAAAGCAATACTTAAAGCATGCATTAGCCTAAGGAAATTAAAATGTAATATAATTTACAGCACTTGTGTATCGCATGGGTGCTGTGCATCAGGAAATTACAATACAGCTGTAATGCATATGTAGACATACATGTTCTCCTGTTTGTCTCTCCTGTTATGCCCATTTGGAATGTCGTATTTTATCTTTCTCTTATGAGCAGCAATCCACCCATTACAGATAACAGTAACATTTTGCCTAAACAGGACCTCTTCCTTAATAGTGTACCTCATCAGCATATGGTGCCAAAGTAATGACCCAGAGAACACAGGGGTTTCTCCAGAAGATCTCTGCTTAGCATCTGTGTATGTGCCCTGTAAGAGTCACTGTGTCAGGCTTGCAGCATATTGACTCCCAATGGTTGTTTCTCTCTAACCCTTTAAAAACACCAATATTGGCCCAGAAGACTGAAACAGCCAGAAGTCAAGCAGCTAGGTCTCTGAGTCATGCATCGAATCAGGCCAGTTTCTTACTGAGCTCTGTATTAAAAGAAGGAGTAGAGAGGAAGTACATTCAGGCACTGCTGCGCACAGATGTTTTCACAGTGGTCTTTTTTGGTTTTTATGAATCACTGAAGAAGTCAACCATGAGCAGTTTGTTATTGTGCTCTTGTTTCTTCCAGCAATACGAAGGGAATGAAGACATTATTTGAAAAAGCAGCTCAGTGACTAGAAAAACAGATTGTAAAAGCAAACTAGTAGACTATTTTGAACACTTCGGAGCAAGCCCCTACCTCTAAGCAAGGCAACCAGAACAACATTTACCAAGTCCAGAGTTCATTGACTAAACAGTTTTGAAAGTAGCTACTGTACTATTACAGACTGCAATTCGCCAAGCATGCAACGACCTGATGTGAACAAGTAAAGTATGGCTTTAATTTGTAAGGTGTGGTTCCGGAGCAGGTCTGGGTATGCCACTTTTCAAGTCAACTGAGGTAGCAGGTGGCTAGGCTACCAGGCAGCCATTTTATCTTAAGCACGAGTTTCACTTCGGTAATTGTAAGTAGAATGATACCCATTAAGACTGGAGATTTTGTTCAGATACAGTTTGCAGTATGGACTGGCTATTGACATGAGAACAAAATGGAACAGGACATCCTAGGTTATGCAGGACCCCTACTTAACCTTACCATAATTGCCTTGCCACTAGAATATTACCAAAATTTGGAAACAATTGGAAAACAGACCACCCAAGCAGGTGAAAACCCATTATGGACATACAAAATGCAGGAGCTCATTAAATCTATCACAATTCAAGGCAACCAGTGCATCCGTTTGTATTTTGAGTATAAAATGGAGGCCAAACAGGCATTGTGGTTTATGGATTCCATTTCACCTTGCATTAATTATATTATCACAAGAATGCTACCTACAGTGTAAGGAGTTAGTTGGTCAAACATGCCGTGCTCAGGAGCAGTTGGTGTAAACTGTCTAGCAAAGCAGTTGATGACCCGCTATGGGCGGGAATATTATCACTGCAACACATGAGTGAAGCCCTGGTTGAAGAACACGGATCAAGGTGTGGCAAAGCCTGGGTGGAGCTAAACATTTAGCCCTGCCCATCGCGGGTTTTCATTGGCAGAGTGACCATCCCCCATTGATGAATACGGAACAGGGCGGGGCTAGATGTGGGTGGAGCTAAACCTTTAGCCCTGCCCATCACGGGTTTTCATTGGCAGAGCAAGCATCCCCGACTGAAGAACACGGAACAGGGCTGGGCTAGACCTTCAGCCTTTCCCGTCACAAGCGTTTTCATTGGTCACTCTTGCCCGAATCACTTTATGAGTTCTAATAAGACACAAAGAATACCATGGAGGTAAGGAATGTCGAATGTGACATTGCTCCATGCTATTTTTTTATTCCTACCACAGTAACACTAGTAACACAATACCTAAACCCTAAGCGGTGTGCTCTGGAAATGGGAGATGCCGCTCCCGTTGACGAGTGGGTGGGGACCTGTGTGTGAGGGCGGGTTTGTCCCCACCTGCGGTGTGTCCCGCAGCAGAGATACTTGACTTGTGCAAATCAGAAACAGCGCTGTGCACTCATAAAATAAACCATGTTTTGATTCTTAAGACAGCAGCGTGAGCTGCCAGTGGAAAAGGGAAATCACATGACCAATTTGGTTCATGCAGGAATAATACTGACTTCTGGAATTACGTTAAATTATGTATGCAAAAAATGATTTTTGAGCCATTTTGTATGATAGGACACTTTTCAGAATGGTTTATGATCTGTTGCAGATGTGAAAGTTAGAGTAGAAAAACCCTTGGCTGTAGATAGAATTGGCCCAGATACTAGTCTCATCCTAGTATCCAGTTGCTCATCTTCCAAAAACAATTTAAAAAATTCAATGAAAAAGAATCCTTATAGTCACATGCTTTTGCAATCTGAGAGCCTAAAAAAGTTTTCAGGAAGTTCCTTATGTTGTTCTGTGTATACAAATGAAGAAGAAAACCTAGAACAGATTTCTGATAAGCAGTGTTGACAAAGGAGAGCTGGTCCCTTCCTGGAACACATTTTTTCTTGGTGATCCCAAAACAATTAGTCACTTAGACTTCTTCAGCTTTGAGATATAGCCAATAACAACAGTACTTCAGCTGTGAGCACATAGTGTCCTATTGTGAAGAAGATCATTTTAAACCTTTAAAATTCAAGCAGCACCACAACACATGTCTGTGGTATCGGTTGTGACTGGATTTTCTGGGTTTTGAGTTTTGGAAACATACATATTTAAAATGAAATGAACACTTCAGTGCTGAAATACATCATGACACTTTTGTGGAGCATTACAAAAAAAGCAATTGCTTATTAACATCATCACCATTAGAATTGCTATATTTTGCACTGTACAGTATTTATTACACACACCCAAAGAAGGCTTTTGCAGCCGAAATATTGTTTTTCTCTTTTCTATTCTTCAGTGTTGAATTACTTGTTCCAGTATATATTACACAGGGCTGATTATTGGCAATAGGGAATCACCATTGATCAAATCAGACATACGTCAAGCAGATACAGCAAACCCCTTCATTCTCGTTTTAACAAAAGCCACTGAAATTTAAACTAGGACTGACCTACAGTGAAAGCAAAATTCTGGTCATTTATGTTATGGTTCGATGATGTGGACCCAAGCGACCAGCAACCCGAATCATGTTTGACACAGTACCAAGGCAGTACAAAGTGCCAAAAGAAGCACACGCTACCAAATAAAGTTTCATTACCAGCTTGAGTTTATCAATATCTTGAGCAATCAGGTCATAACAGAGCCTTAATACAGATCTGGGTACAAATGGCAGTGTGCGTGGGCTCCCAGCTCTGTGAACATGACCCTATTAGTGTGCTCTGCTGCACAGTGACTCACTAAGTTCATTACCATTTCCTTTATTAGTTTCAAACGTTTTGACAAAATAGTCTTCGGAAAGATGCCTTGATTAAGTGCTTACAATTATGCGTGTGGTTAACGATCTCTCTTATCCCAAAACACAGAAGGAGAAGGAAGAACAGACTCCAATGCAACATGGTGTGTCTAATTCTGAGACACTGTTTTGACAAACTCTACAAAATCCTGAGCTGTTGGGTATTCAACATGATGAGGGTGACAGATAATGGCCTGTGTAAAATACCGCTGTAAATATGCTCTGTGGAATTAGCGCAATGTGTGAAAGTATATTTTCAGTGCACTGTATATGAATAACATGTTTCATATACATTTTACTGTAACATTTACTGTAAGTACTGCAGAATTTTATAATACAACACTGAATCATGACCTCAGAAACTATTTGGAAGGTCTGGATAAGTCAGTAATTGAGAGCGGGGCTGCAGAGTGTTCAGTGGCTCAGAGTTCGATCGCTCAGTCCTGCAGCGGGTCAGTGTTATGGTGCTGAGCTGCAGTGTGTTCAGTAGCACGGTGTTATGGGTGCTCAGTGTTGGCTGAGCTGGCTTGTGGACAGTAGCTCAGTATTTGGGAGGTGGGTTGCTGGGGGTTCAGTAGTTCAGTGCTAGTGTACTGGCTTGTGCTGAGGAAGCTCTCTGTACCTAATGCCTTCTGCTCCTCAGGGCTGAGGTAGGGAGTTGCTTTGGGCTGCTGTTCAAACAACATGAGCTGGTAGCGGTGGAAGCCTGTCTCCGAAGGTGGGGTTGGGCGTCGATATTCTAGAGGAAACAAACAGGATCAAGGTATAAGCATCACCAAAAACAGCGCAGTTGCAACAGAAATAAAGCAAGATGTGCAACATAAAACATTCACATAGAAAGACATAGAAATCTACATTAGAAAACGTTTTGTAATGGTATTTCCCAATACAGCAATTTAAGGTGTGATGGGGAAAATGTACCAAGTGTTCAGTTTAGTTTCAGTACTGTGAAAATGATTTTGAATTATAAACACAAATTTTAATTTAGTTTTTTAATTTTCACAAATGTACGTTCCTGAAATTCAACGGGAGGACAGTTTGCATCAGAAAAAAGGAGCTAATTTTACATTGTAATAGAAAGATTTGGAAAAAATATAAATGTTTTAATGTATTATTTGTATTTTAGGATGTAATTTACTATTGTTTTGTTCCAATATTTGGCAGGACCCAGTACAGTTACACTCCTTTTTTACAACCCACTGATGGATACAGGACTATTCTCCATAACCCACGGTACAATGTTTGAATTTCTCTTGGTTCCTCAAGTTAAAACCTGCAAATCTGACTGACGTGGGCTCGACATCCTGGGATCCTGATCTGTTGCACAGAAAATGTGGAAGAAGAGCCTGAACCGGTTTTCAGACATCATCAAACTCCTCCTCCGTGTCTTTCAAAATCCAACCGCTTCGAAACGGTACAGATTGAAACACTATCCACCCCCAAAAAAATCACGGCGTCTCTATTCTCTGTTACCCCTGGTGTAATTTGGAAATGCCTGCTTCTCAGAACGATTCAGTGAACTGGTTCTTTTGCATTCTTCTGCTGGTGAAATCAGACAACCTCAAACACGCGAAAACCAAGAATAGGATGAATATGGACAAAACGACTAAGCACAGATGCACTGCCATGGGTTAATGACCTCTCGTTGCCGAAATGAATGAATAAGTACATGCCCATTAGCATGGAGGGACAGAGGGGGCTTTATTTACCTAGAGCTAATGGCAAGGGCTTCTCAACAGGGAGAGCAGCTCCATGCATGGCTTTGTCCCGCGCCACTCGCAGAGTGACAGACGCCCATTACTGCCATGCTACATCAGCTCCACCAGCCCTCACACATCATTACCCAGGAAGGCCAGCCGCCCTGGCGACTCTGCCCAAGAAGACAGATGATGATGGAGGAGTGTGGGGACCGGAGATGAGTGAGGACTGGGGGGGGGGGGGGGGGGGGGGGTTGCGTGAGGGCTGCGTTTCGACATGGCCAGAG